ACGTGTTGGACCATAACCTGGTGTCGTCCGACTTGTGACTTTGCCCACCCTAGTCCAACACCGGCACCTCCAGATCACAGTTTTGAGTTGCTAGATCTGGTCTAAATCTACCCCTTTAACCACAGTAATAATGCCACAGAACACAGTGGAGGTATCCTCAATGTGAAGATGAGACATTGTCTTCACAAAGCCTGTGTGGTGATCACTCCTGCCAATAATGACATGGACAGATTCGGTTAGGAACGTCCGAATCAAGTAGGTTTTTCCCTCTTGTTGGTTCTGTTAACTCCTGCTGCAGGGCCAGACTAGCAGCTGTGTCCATTGAGACTCAGACAGCTTAGTCAGTAGTGGTACTACTGAGTCACTCCTGGAGATAGGCATTTACAACCCCTACTCAGACTACATTCCATGCTCTTGCCACCCTCAGTTCTTCTTCTATCTGGTGCTCGACAAAGAGGATTCATCAGCTAAGGTGGCAAGTCGGTTGCAATCAGCCAGAGGTTTCTTTGCCAATGTTCATCTGATAGATCATACACGTTTCTTTTGTTACTACTACTGAAGTGTAGTTGCAGAGTTTCTTTAACAACAGTTTATCACACAAAAGACAAAAAAAAACCCAAGGTAAACAGTTAGAAAAACATCTTAATACCCAGCAAAACAACATTTCACTCCATTTTGCAATACCACTACTTTGCAGCAATTCAAATCCAGAGCAATTACCCTTCTACGACATTTAAAGATTAAATCTTTAAATTCAACGTAACTGATCTTCCATTCTTTTCTGTGAACTGTGAAGTCTCCTTACACAAACACTCACAAAACTAAGAGCTTAGACTTTCTCAACTCTTTAATAAACTGCAGATTTTGAACCAAACACTCCTGGTAAGAAAATAACACCAACAAAACTTTTCCCCTGATGTAACTGGTGATCTATATTACTTTTTTGGGAGAGAAAATATATTTGCTTCTGACCTAAGTCAGGTCTCCTCCAAACTGCCCAAAAACATTCAATCTCTAGGTTTTCTAATCTGAAATGCACCCTTTTCTAAGCTAAAATCAACCTTTGATTATCTTCAATGAATAGCAAGCTAATTCCAGTAATAAAGCAGCACAGTTCAACAATTTTCCATTAGCACTCTGAGGCTCACTACTCTGACACATGGTGAGGGGTGACCTGCAAGTGTGAGCGGTGCATTTGCATTCATGATAGAATAGACTAAAAACACCCAAATAATAGCAAGTCGTGTATAAAAGAGAGGAGTAAGGTTAAATATTATTACTAGAGATAAAGTACTCGACAGTTTTTGGAATCAGATGCTGACAAGTCATTCAGACCTGTCCTGCATTTTCAGCTCTTAAAAAAAGAGGTTGCAGAGTTAATTGATTCATTGGTAGCAATCTTGCAAAACTTCCCTAGGTTCAGGAAAGATCCCAGTGGATTAAAAGCCCCTAATAAAAGATTCCTATTCAAGAAACAAGGGAGACAGAAGCTATAGGTTAGTAAGCCTAACATCTCATGGGGAAAGTGTAGGAAGTAGTTACAGGGCATTTTCACAGAATCCCTACAGTGTGGAAACAGGCCCTTTGGCCCAACAAGTCCACACTTACTCTCAGACCCGTCCCCCTATAACCCACCTAATCTACACGTCCCTGAACACTACAGGCAATTTATCATGGCCAATCCACCTAACCTGCACATCTTTGGTCTGTGGGAGGAAACCGGAGCACCTGAAGAAAACCCATGCAGGCACGGGGAGAATGTGCAAACTCCACACAGACAATCACCCAAGGGTGGAATCGAACCCAGGTCCCTGGCACTGTGAAGCAGCAGTGCTAACCACTGGTCCATCATGCCACCCTGGTTTTGAAACGAAGTATAATCAAGCACAGTCAGCATAAAATAATGGAGAAAAATTGTGTTTGATAGTTTAATTTGGGCTCTCTGAGGATGCTTTAAACAGTGTTGTTAAAGAGGAAGGAGAAATATTGTGTATTTACATTTCAAAAGGCATTCAGTGAGTGCCCCATAAAGAATTGCTATATGATAAAATCCCAAGGTGTTGGTGGTAATATGTCAACAAGCTTAGAAGATTGGTTAACTAACAGAAAATAGTGTGTTGGAATAGATGGGCCATTTTCAGATTGGCGGACTGTAACTACTAGTTTGTTGCAGAGAACCTCAAATGTTTACATGCTAAATTAACTTGGATGGATGAACCAAATGTAATGGAGCTGAAGTTTCTGAAATAAAGATAGGTGGAAAAGCAAGTTGCAAGTCTGCCTTGGAAACTAAAAAATGTCATAGATAAATGAGTGGGGAAAATATCAGATGAAATGTAATTTTTTAGTTTGGTGGGAAGAATGGAAAATCAAACTATTACTAGACAGGATGTTAAAGCAAGAGGATGTATATGGTATAGATTTATCAAAAGGAAATCAGGGATCAAAAACTATATTATGAGGAGGAAATTTGGTTTTGGGACCATTCAATTAGAGCAAAGAAGGCTGAGGAGATTCCTTACATGTTTTTAAAATTGGCAAGTATTTTAATAAGATTAATAGGAAACGACTTTCCTGTGGACAGTCAATTATAGAGTCATTGAGTCATGCAGCACGGAAACAGACCCTATGGTCCAACCAGTCCATAGTTGACAAGATAATTATAAAAAAGGAATGACATCTGGCACTTTACTCATCTTTCTAGAAAATGTTGCATTGTCATCTACTCATAGGAGCAGCCATAAATAATTCCAGAATTTTAGTCTCCATGACTCTATCTCAGAACCTATCACATATTTTGGTCGCTATATGAATTAAGAGCTCACATGGGAAGTTCTAAATTTGTAATTTATTAGTTTGCAGCCATGTTCCCCTGTTTTACCTTTTCAGTTTAATTTAATGTAGAATTACTTATTACATACAATTTATTACCTCTTATATTTCTGAGTTTACATTTTGAGCATTTACTTTCAAAGATTAAAAACTCGAGGTTTGCCAGTATTTCACAAATTGAAAACTGCCTCTTGCTTGTTCTTAAAGCGTAAATGCTTTGCTATGTGGCAATGCATTTTTTAAGAGAAATTGGAAAAACACTTGACGATAATATTGATTCAAGGTTATGATTAATTTTTTCGTTAATGCTTGTCCTCTCAATAATTATCACATTTCCCCTAAGATTCAACCAGGCAACCTGGCACTTCTTTAATTTCAACATAAATAGTTTACTGCAGCATGTACCAAATTACTAATAATCTTTTGAATCTCAAGGTATCTCATTCTATAATGAACTATGCTGTGCCTTTTATTATTCATCCTTTGAGCAAGTCATAATTTCTTATCCTGATGATTTAGACAGAAAGATATTTTTCTGCTAATTTAAACCTTTGCCTGGAAACAGTCTTTATTCCTGATACTGCTACTGATTTTGAGTTGTCAGTAGCTTTCAGCTGTCAACTGAGGAGGTCAAGTTCACCATGAATCTTTTCTGTTTTACCTTCATGATTTATTTTCCATTCAGAGCAGAAAGTAAGAAAAGGCAAGGACTTGGTACTGCTGATGACTACCAGTTGCTCCTTTACATTGGTGTAATATTATTGTTATCTTTGTCGCAAGCACTTCCACTCCAAAGTAACTTGAGCTTATTCAGGCATATTCCTGCTTATTTGAAGCTCCACTGAGCATAATATTGAGAACTACGATATTGTTTAGTGTATGATTGAAATCAACAACTTATCCTGTCCAACAAATATTGAGTACAAAACTACAAGTTTTCTAAAAATTGCAAATAGACAAATTGCAAGGAATCTTCCTTTAGTAGATTCTTTAAAAAAAATAATTTCAGTTCTTTAAATATCTAGAAATAGACATCATTTGACCTGTATCTGCTTGGCATTAAAATGTTTCCATTCCTGTATGGAATCCAGCATCCTATTCTCTACTTATGAGACCTTAAATGAATTCTCAATGTCTTTCAGATGCATTGAGACAATAAGTGAGAAGTTAGAATACTTTCTACCCAGTTTTGGGCACAATAGTGACATATTTTGTAGTGCAAGAATTTGTACCGAATTTGTGTCCTATATTTAAATGAAGATCCTGCAATAGATTCACGATCCATTTTCTGAATTTATAAAAACTAGTTGCAGCTTGGACTCAAGTTCTGACTAATTTCTTCAGATATACAGCAATTTAACCTGAGTATCTTCAAGGAATTGCATGAGTCCATCAAAAAAATCAAAAACGTTATTCTTTGCGTACTTCAATTTGGAGGCAGAGGATGCGGGAATGCTTCTTCTGTTTTTAAGTTATTGCTTCGGACAGGGATGGCATTCAAACCAGAGTAAATCTGTATAGCCTTGCTTAGTAAGCAGCATCGCTGTTATTAGGTTGATATCTTCTTGAGTCTCTTTATAGACACAAATATTGTCCCTGCATATGTTTGGCACTCAGACATGACCTTAGAGTAATTTCTAGCTCAGTGTTGAGATAGATGCACTTACAATCAAATTACTTTATTTCCAGTTCTCTAGGTAGGTTTTTCCATGTACCTCACAGTCATACTCATTACCTATATTCTGCTTGTCTTTTACTATTCAGGTTAGAATTAAAGTTTCAGTCTTGGCTTGTGAATTACTTTTCAAGCAATTGTTTTGATGTTCTGAGAGTTTGTTGTATTCAAACTGAAGAGTTCTGCGGCATCCAAGCAAGCAATTTCCTTACAAATAGTATATCATAATCATCTGCATCTCAGCTGTAAAATCCATTTGCTCTTCATCCAAGCCTGGTTTATTTTGCCTTACTTTGCATCACCTACTGAAAAGGATGTTACAGAATTAGTGAAGCACCAACATTTTAAAAGAAAATAGTTCCTCACCGGAGTACACCAATTTTAATTTTGCTTGTCACTATTCCTTATATACCGTCCCAACCCTTCACTGCAGTATTCTTTCTTCTGGTTGGCCTAATATCTTCCTTCCTAGATTATTTTGTCTGGTTTCTAGATCACTAACTGAAATGCTGCAGAAAGGTTCGAGGCTGGTGCATGAACAAACCACAAGGGATTATGGGACACCAATTGGTGAGATCATCAAACTTAACTGCCTGCTTTCTCAGGCTGGGGTCCGGCATCCATCTGCGCTAATGAATGTGACATGGGATTAATGAAGCCCAATTCTCTACAAAGCACCTTTATCAGGCAAGTAAGTGACTATCCCGGGCAAACATGGCTTACAAAAAAAATTAATTACTGTATTGCTTAAAAAAAGGGACATGATATCAATGCTTTCCATCCTGCATTCATCAGGAAAGAGGCAAGAATATCAAAGTTTAAAGTGAACAATAATTATGCTGCATGAGAAGAAGGTTCTGATCGATTGGCAAACAGACTCTGATTGACAGAAGTGTAGCAATGGAAAACATGCCAGGGAACCATTCTCCCTATATTGTTGTTTAATTGAAAAAGGCACAATGTCTGAACGTCCAGTTACACCAAAAAGCCACTTTAAAATCAAAAGTTGACCTCACAAAGTGATCCTTACCACAAAGTGGCTCACTCATGCTTGCTTGAAGCTACACATATTCATACACAGGGCTTTGTCCCACACAAATGAAAAATAAATTGCAGGCATTGCACCTCTTTCAGTTAAATAAAAGGAGAGGGTAAATGGTTAGCTGGTGCACTCTCCATGGCACTGCCTCAACCAATTGAGTTGATGTTTTTTTCTGAGTTACAACAAAACCTTAGACAATAACTGTAGGCTTGGCATTTCATTATACAGTTAATCAATCATGTGTTGGCATTGATGTATTTATTGAATTACTGTTGTCACATGTACCTAAGTACATTGAAAAGTTTTGTTTGCATACAGTATAGGCAGACCATAACATACAAGGACATACAGATCATAGGGTGTTAAAACAGAGTGAGGCATAAAAGGTTACGCCTGCACAGAAGGTGCACAAAAGCAAGATCAGCATTAGATTTGAAATTAGGTCGATACAGCAGTCTAAAACAGTGGGGAAGAAGCTGTTTTTGAACCTGTTGGTACGTGTGTTTGAGCTTTTGTATCTTCTGCGTGACGGAAGTGGTTGCAAGAGAGAATAACCAAGGTGGGAGGTGTCTTTGATGGTGTTGACTGCCTTTCTTGTTAGCTGGCAACAAGAAGTATAGATGGAGTCCATGGATGGGAAGTTGGCTTGTCTGATGGTCTGGGCTGTGTTCACAACTTTCTGTAGTTTCTTATGGTCCTGGGTAGAGCAGTTGCCATATCAAGCTGTGATGCACCCAGACAGAATGCTTTCTATGGTGCATCTGTAAAAATTGGTGAGGGTCTTTATGGACAAGCTGAATTTCCTCAGCCTCCCGAGGAAGAAGAAGCATTGTTGTGCCAAATTGACCATTGCATCTACATGGGAGGACCAGGACAGGTTGTTGGTTATCGTCACTCCTAGGAACTTGACACTCTTGATAACCTCCACTTAACTCGTTGTTATAGATAAGGACTTGTCCTCCGTCTTTCTTCCTGAAGTTGATAATTAGCTGACATTAGTTTTGCTGACGTTGAGGGAGAGATTGTTATCTTTGCACCACGACACGAAGCATTCTATCTCCTTTCTGTATGCCTACTCATCATTGTTTAAAGGATTGGGAAAGAATGTGTAAATCTGTCCATCTGTCCCACACCTACCAAGGCAAGTGAAGAAAATTCCCTACCATACCTAAAAATTGTGTCTTGTAGCTGATAGAAATGCTCTGGGGAGTTAAGAAAAACCCTGCAAAATACCCAGCCTTAGGCCATGGTCATATAGTAAGGGCATTTAAACAGCTGAATTTCTGGCCGCTGCTGAATCTCAGGATGTTGATGGGAAGCCTGCCATTGGTAATGCCACCATTTTCCCAGGCTTGCAAATGTAGAAATGTGCTGTTTCGTTGTGAAGGATTGTGAATGGAGCCTAACTATATTCATCAGTGAACAGCCCCAAATATATCCTTACAATGTCACCATCAAGCATGCTGAATATATTTGGGACGAGGACCAGGCTGTGAAGAACACCTGGAACAATTGTCTGGGATTGATAGAATTGATTTTCAGTTTCTGCATCTATAAAGTTTACTGACTGACTTCAGTGTTACTAAGTTTCTTGGTGCCACAGTTGGTAGAATGCTGTCTTAATTACTAGGTGTCACGGTTTCAAGGTGAGAGGGGAAACGTTTAAGGGAGATATGCGTGGAAAGTTCTTTACACAGAGGATGGTGGGTGCCCGGAACGCATTGCCAGCGGAGATGGTGGAGGCGGGCACGATAGCGTCATTTAAGATGTATCTAGACAGATACATGAATGGGCAGGGAGCAGAGGGATACAGATCCTTGGAAAATAGGCAACAGGTTTAGATAGAGGATCTGGATCGGCGCAGGCTTGGAGGGCCGAAGGGCCTGTTCCTGCGCTGTAATTTTCTTTGTTCTTAATACTAAGTACAAAAACTTTTGCCTCATTTGGAACTCGGCTTGCATCCATATCTGAATAAAAACTGTAATGACGGCTGAAGATCAGTCATAGATCATACAGCGCAGAAACAGGCCCTTCATCCCAACTTGTCTATGCCGAACAGGCTTCCTAAACTGAAATAGTCCCATTTTCCTGCGTTTGGCCCATATCCTTATAATCTTTGTTATCCTGTGTACTTGTCCAAATGTATTTTAAATGTTGTAATTGTACCTGCTTCTACCAGCTCATTCCATGTATACACCACGTTCTGTGTGAAAACATTGTCCCTCAGGTCCGGCTTAAATATTTCTCCTCTCGCCTTAAACCTATGCCCACTAGTTTTGGACTCCCCTGCCTTGGGAAAAAGACCAATTGCCCTAACCATGCACCTCATGATTTTATAAACCTCTATAAGGTCAGCTCTAAGCCTCATACGCTCCAGGAAAAAGAAGTCCCAGACTATCCAGTCTTTCCTTATAACTAAAAACTTCCAATTTCAGTAACATGCTCGTAAATCTTTTTTGTACCCTTTCCAATTTAATAATATCCTTCCTATAGCAAGGCGATCTGAATTGTACACAGTACTCCAAATGTGTCTTACCAATGCCTTGTACAGCTGTAATACAACACCCCAACTCCTGTACTCAGTGCTCTGACCGATGAAGGCAAGCGTGCCAAATGTCTTCTTCATCACCCTGTCTACCTGTGATGCCACTTTCATGGAAGTCTGTATCTGTATCCCTGGGTTTTTCTTCGACAAAACTCCCCAAGGCCCTACCATTAACTGTGTTAAGCCCTGCCCTGGTTTGTCTTACCAAAATGCAACACCTTACATTTATCTGAATTAAACTCCACCTGCCATTCAATGGCCCACTAGCACAGTTAATCAAGATCACGTTGTACTCTTCGAAAACCTTCTTCTCTGTCTACTATACCAACAATTTTGGTATCATCTGCAAACTTACTAACCATGCCTCCTATATAACAGTGGACCCAGCACCAATCTTTGTGGCACACTGCTGATCACAGGCTTCGAGTCTGAACAATAACCCTCTACCATTACCCTCTTTCTCCTACTGTCAAAGCAATTGTGTATCTAATTGGCGAGCTCTCCTTGGATCTCATGTAATCTAATCTTACTAATCAGTCTACCATGTGGAACCTTGCTAAAGCCCATGTAGACAACGTCTCCCGCTCTGCCTTCATCTATCTCCTTGGTCACCTCTTCAAAAATCTCAATCAGGTTTGTGAGACATGATTCCCCAAGCACAAAGCCATGCTGGCTATCTCTAATCAGTCCTTGTAATTTCTTCCCTAGCTTCCCACAATGTTCTGGAATTCATTTGATCAGGTCCATCAGTGTGGTGAGTAGGGTGATTGATCTGGTTAGGTTTTTTCAGAAGGCAAATATCTGGCTGGGTCTTTCATTTCTCTGTTTTCTACCAATGTTGTATTGGCACTAGAACAACTTAACTAATGATGTGGTTCATGCTGGAATGCAAGTTGTCATAGTAATGTCAGCTTCCGTAGACTTTTCTATGACAAATGTACTCAGCTATTTCTTGATGAGCAACAAGATTACTCAAATTGAATGATGACTGGTATTTGTGATGATGAAGACCACAGAAACATGCAACAAAGGACCATTAATTTGGCAATTCTGGATAAAGGGGGTTACAAACGCTTCAGCCTTTTTGCAGTCAAATGTCAGTTTTCATCATCAATTTTAGTTGGTATGCTTCTTCCACTGCCCTGTTATTTAGTTTTTAACCATTGTTCATTCGTGTTATGTGGCAAGACTTTGACCTTATGTTATTTGCATATTTGAATATGTGTTCAGTAACTTAAAAGCAAATTCTAGAAGTACACTATAGGTTGATCCATATGTATGAAGAGAAAGGTATGAACAAGTTAGGATAACCCTTTTTCAGAATACTGCTTTGAAACATTACAATATTACTTGTCAGAATGTATGGATGTTAAATGAGAGAAGGATTGATGTTTATTGTGATGCTCTCCAGTTGAAAACAACTCTGAGCAAGTGTCAAAATTGTCACTTAAACATGATTAGTACCTGTGAAACTATAAGCTGCTAAAAGTCTGCATCTTCGGTAGAGAAAGACTCGGAACATAAGAATGCTGACAGACAGAGGGACTTTGCCACAGCATGCAAGCCCTCAATTAACACATAATGTTAAAATATCTTGAAATATGTTCGGCATCATGTGAAATTTCAGGATTTTTTTAAAATCATAAAATATATTTAAGCTTTGTTTATAGTTTTTTAGATCACCATGTTTTGTTTTCTAGTATTCCAAGTGAAAGCCATAAAAGATGTTGAAGACTATTTTGAGAAGACAAAGAGGGCTGTTGATGAAAGAATTCCTGCTGGTGGTTATCACGAGAAGGCAAAGAGGAATTTAGATGGCAGTGAGGACTATGATGAGGATGAGGATGAGGATGAGGATGATGATGACGAAGACGAAGATTCCGATATTGATTATGAGGAGACAAAAATTAAATCTAAGCAACGTGTGTACAGAACCAGAAAAGCATTAGATGAAGAAAGGGAGAAAAGGGAGTATGAATATTATTCTCGTGGAAAATTTGCCAGGGATATTGATGACTATGTGCGTTAGTTACAGCATTAGTGGTCATTGATTTGTCAGATGTTAACAATGTACGTGTCCATACAGTGTCTACCTAAAATAAGTAATAACAGGGAATAAAGATTTCTACATGTGTCCATTTGATTTTCTTAGTTATACAATTTAATTGTCTAAGCTTAGTGGTTGCTGTTGATGGTGAATTGATCACTTTTATTGGATAACACATTTGGAATTGAGTGTACTTGTATTTCAGGTTGTGTACCTTGAGAGGCTTAACGGACCTTAATCTGCATCTACGGGCAAAAATCTCTTGAGTTGTTCATGTTATAGAAATCTATGATGCATTTTTCTTTTGGAAGATTTGGTACTTTGGAAATCGATTAAGTTTCTGCTCAAAACAGAAAATGGATTCAAGGATGCTGTTGAACCCTGATGTAAGGTACTATTATTCAAAAGGATTGCTGGGTAATGTATTCATTTTTGATGGTGAAGATCTCAACATAATTAGGTAGAAATATGGCAGAAATCTGTTCATCATGTGTATTTCCATGTAAGGTTAATTCTGTAATTCTATCCTGTGCCACCAGGGAGCTACACTTGAAGACTAGATGAGTTCAGAGATAGTCCTGCTTGCAGGTACAGCCTTCTGCTGGTGTAATGTAATGGTAGAATCACTTCTACAGTCTTTCCTGATATTAAATAGCAAATCCTTTCATGAGCACATAATAAGCAAAAACATCAAAGCAGTTAATTTTGCCTGAATTAAATAAAACACAGTCTGGAAACAACAGCCATGGTAACAGTAACTGCATGATGCAGAGATGAAGGCAAAATATACAGACCAGTCCACCACACTCAAGTGGTATTTTGTATATGTTACGTGCACCTCTCAGTTAAATGTGATAAACATTATTTATGAGACAGCAACAAATCAAGTATATTAGTGTTGTGATTGTTAATGAAGTAATGAATCAGAGAAAACAATTTCAGATCCCATAATGATCATGTCAGAATTTAAATTTTTAAAAATTTGGAAATAAAAAACCGAATCAGTGAATGTGACATTAGAGCTATCAAATTGTCCTTTAATATCTTTTAGCTGCTTTCTAGCATATATATACCTACAATCCCCTGCAATGTGGTTGATTCACAAGTGGCTTAGGAAGCTACTCATTTGCATCAAAAAATAATTCCAAAACTATCACATTATCAAGATAACTAGAGATGAATAATAAATGTTGTCCAGGCCTATGATGTTCATTTTCTCAAGGCTGAAAAAATTAAATGAGTAAGTAAGAAATCAACAGATGTCAAGCAGGAACAAAAGCTTTGAATGAAAATGTACCAAGAAGATGCTGAACCAACCAATAAAGAAGTATCTGTTAATAAGAAAAAATGAAGTCAATGAAATTATAGAAGGTATATTTTGATGGACACCTTGTTTCATTAGTCAATCAAATAGAACTAAAAATAACAAAAACAAATTGCTGGAGTTCTGGAGAACAAGTTCTGAAGAAGTGTCACTGGACCCGAAACATTAACTGTGATTTCTTTCCACAGATGCTGCCAGACTTGCTGAGCTTTTCCAGCAATTTCTGTTTTTGATTCAGATTTCCAGCATCCACCATTCTTTCAGTTTTTTGTCTAGTGTTAGAACTAAAAATAAGTTTGGCAACAAACATAGAAACATTGTTTAATTCACAACAAAGCACTTAAATTGCCTGTATAATTATCTTTTCAGTATTTGAAATATCAACAATAACACTTTCTTTAAAACCTGTGTCTTCACACTTCCCAAAGGATCAGGAACGTGAGTGTAGTAACTCCTTGTTTAGCCTTGTAATGGCATTCCTGAAAAGAGCACCTTTAAGTGACACAACTATAAATGAATCTGATTTACCCATTTCAATCAAGGTAAAATCTACAATCAGGTTTTAAGACCCAAAGAAAAAGTCTTTAAGAAATTATACCCTCTAATTTGAAATACTGTACGTTTCTAAATTTCTATTTCTGTAAATAAAATCATTTTAAAGCTAAATTTAAATGGAATTGAAAATATTTTTAAAAATTCACTATTATCATCCACTATCCATCTCTACTGCTTGCCTCCTTTCCTGCTACCTGACTCTCTCCTACTGGCCTACCATCCTGATTATAGCCTTTCTCTTGCCTCACTCCTCTTTTGAAATTTTTCTGTGAGTGACGGCCCATGGGCGGAGATAAGTGGGAGATAATGAGCAAGGCAAGGTTGGGAAGCCAAGCAGTGAGTGGGAGGGTTGAGGAGCATAAGAGTTCAGTGCGTGCATTTAATTCCCTCCCCAGTAGTAAGTTTGGTGCATGGGGTAAATTAATCAGGCTGCAGAGTGTCAAGTGGGAACCCTGCCATCTGCCTGTCTCCACCCTGATAGTGCAAAGACTATGGTCATGCCCTATCACCAATTAAGCCACTTAATTGGGCAATTAAAATGGAACCAATGAAATTATAGAAGATATGTCTCAACAAATTATTTTAATAAATACCTTGTTTTGTCAGGCAATCAAAATAAAGCTTAAAAATAAGTTTGGCCTCCTCGGTGGAGGGGACTGACTCCGAGCTGGCTGGCTGCAGGCAGTGTATTGTGCACAAGTGAAAATAAAGTTTGGCAACAAACATAACATTGTGTAATTCACAACAAAACACTTAAATTACCTGTGTAATTAATTACCTTTTCAGTTTTTGAAATAATAATAATAACATTTTCTTTAATGTCCTGCACGCCCACCCTTTCCAACTCATCAGGAACTTGAGTACCATGACTCCTTGGTTAGACTGTAGTTGAATTCTTGAAAAGTGAGCAGTTAATGCCAAGCTAAACGTATCTTGTTACTGTGGCTGGTATTAGCACAATACCTTCCCAAAAGAAGTGATGAGAGCTCCAGCCAATGGACTGGGCCCCATTGCCTCCTTTATTCCAGAAAGTGAGAGCAAGTCAGGAAGTAGGAGAAGCCAGCATGCAGAGAGCTTAAGGGACTACATTTAGAGTTGCTGATTGGAGGATGTTGGCAAAACTCTGAGGAAAGAGAAGGGCCAGCAAGTACAAGAGAGTCAGTGAGTGGATGGGAATTTTTTGACAACAGAGAGTTGGAGAGCAGAGGGACTGCTTCAAAATGTTTTTGATTGTGTTATGCATGCTACATTGGTCCTGGTGCAAAACAATGCTACATGGAAGTCTCAATGTTAAGTGTGCATACAGGCCCTATTATAACTGTGACACTAAAATGACATTGAATGAAGCATCTTAAAATGGGATCTTGGGAGATCCTGCTGTTATTACTGTCCCCTGAACAAGGAAGAAGCATTCCTAAATGCTGTGATATCCTAACTGTATTGAAAACTTTGAAATAGTAATGTATAACATGACCGACATTTTAGTGACTTAATAGCCAGAGTGATCGTTTGCAGAGCACGGTGATAGTGTCATGGACGATATCTATGTGTCAGTTTTTGTTCAGTACATTGAGTGATTATCTCAAATAATTTCCAGCAGCAAGCTTCTTGAGGGTTTTCAAATGGACGGTTTAATTGTTAACACACATGTATGCTGAATTTTTAAAATTCACTGTTATTCTCATTCATCCCAAATACCCTATAATACACACAAAAGATCAGATACAGATCAAGATAAAACAGTTTATGATTGTCTCCGTATCCATTGTGGCATGCCTATAATTTCTGAAATCATTTAGTGTTTTAGTTGAAATGCAGGTCTAGTAAAACAGAAGATTCCCAGTTAGCAGTGCAGCTTTATGTAGGTGAATTTATGGGAGGTTAGTTCTTCATGAACGTGAAGTTGTAACAGATTGTGGGTGTGGTGATTTCTACTTCCACTTCAAAGTATTGTTCTTATTAATGTGGATGCTCAGTTGACTTGCAGCTGGTTGAATGGCTTTCTGTATGCGGGCACTGTAGTTAAAAGGCGTTAGAGATTTACTGTATTTAGTAGTTATGTACTGATGGTTCATAATTGTTTACCTGTAATTAGAGTGTAATTACTTGTAATGAATAGCAATCGGTGACTTTCATGGCCAGTTGTTGTCACTGACCTTGTCTGCGAATGCAGAGGGCCCATTGGCCATTTTGGCATTTGTAGTAATTACTCCATATTTTAAAGGTTGCATCTATTGTGATTACCACCACCAAGAGGAGCAAAGAGTGCACCTGCATTCTGTCGTGACCCAATGTCACAAAAGTGACGCGAGGAAATTGGGATGGCAGAGTGTGAATAATACGGGCTGACTCAACCTGGCTCTGAGTAGTGCCTCTCAACTCTGGCCTTCCTTCCACAGATCCTCTTCTGCATTCCTGATGCAGGACTCTGCCCTGTTCCAGCTGGGGCCCGAGCCTTCACCTTTCTAAACCTTTATCAACCGTACATGTGCTGATGACACTCATTGTGCACTGAATGCAGTGATGTTATTAGCACATGCAGATGCTTCCTGCAACCTGTCCTGTCACAGCCATGTAATGTTATTGACTGTTATTTCATATAAACAGCAGCAGCAGTATTGCATTTTGTATGGTCACCATATTTTAAAAGCAGGCAAAAAATGGCTCCTTCAGCATATGACTCTGGGGGTCAGTTAGCTCAGTTGGCAGTACAGTTAGTTTGCAATATTGAGTGATGTCAACTGCCTGGGTTTAATTCCCATACTGGCTGAGGTTACCATGAAGGACTCATCTTCTCAACCTCAAGTATTGCCTGAGGCATGGTCACCCTCAGTTTAAACTCACCACTAGTTGTGCCTCTTTAATGAGAGTGCAACTCTATGCTCCTTTGGGACTACAGCAACTTTGCTTACTGTACTATAGATTTACAATAATCTTTGCAAATCCCAGACAATCTTTTGCTTTCTCATTCTATATATGGATGTTAGTGTGTAAAACATGTTGGGTTAGTGTTGTGCTGAGGCAGTGGCCCTTTGGTATGTTCTTAGGTGGCAGATTGTCCGGACTGTGCTGAAGAAATTACATACGTGATGGCTGTTAGCAAATTGATGGTTTCCTGTGCTCTTGCAACCATCCATCCTTTCTTTTGTTCATTTTTTTTGTTGGACCTCAACCATTTTTG